CACACACACACGCGCGCACACACACGTCTATATGTGAAATAATTACCACTTTAGGTTATTTTTGGCATTAAGAAGGAGTTGTATGTAGGAGAAGAATGGCAATTTGAAGCAAGTATAGAGGTGAGGAGTTCCTGGGGAGGAAGGAAAGTCTTTGTCATTAGTAATCCCCCACCATTGAGTTGATTCTGACTCACAGAGACCCCATGTAGGGTTTCCAAGACTGTGTATCTTTGCAGTAGCAAGATAGCCTCATCTTTCTCCCAAGAAGTGCCTGGTGAATTTGAACCGCCAGCCTTTGTACCTCATACTCCAATGCACCACCAAGGCTCCTGTCACTCACTGCCCTTAGGGATGCCAACTCCTAGCAGCTGTAGAGGTCTCAGATTTGAGGGTTCATCTCAGGCTAACTGAAGGCCTCCCTTGTTTTGTCCTGGGTGCTGTCGTGCTCAGCCCACTCTAAAGGGTTATGTGTTAATGAAATGTGTTTGTCTTGTACATGAAAACCACGTTCTGATGTGTTTTTTCCTATTTCTTTCAGATCCCGGTCTCCAGACTCTCCCTCATGCCATTTCCTACAGCGCAGGTCTCTCCCAGGGCTCGTTTTCCAGTCTCCATCCCTAGTCCTAACAGAACAGGAGCCAGAACCCTTGCAGACATCAAGGCAAAAGCCCAGCTGGTCAAAGCACAGAGAGCAGCCGCTGCAGCCGCCGCTGCCGCTGCTGCAGCCGCCTCAGTTGGAGGGACCATTCCAGGTCCTGGGCCAGGAGGTGGACCAGGTCCAGGGCCAGGAGAAGGTGGTGAAGGGAAAACTGCTAGGGGAGGGAGTCCAGGCTCCGACAGAGCCAGTGATACTAGAAAGGGCCCCACACTGGAACTGGCAGGAACTGGAAGCAGGGGAGGTACGAGAGAGCTTTTACCCTGTCGTCCAGAGACTCAGTCCCAATCTGAGACCACGAACCCAGGCCAGGCCCAGCCTCCTAGTGTCTCTGGAGCACAACTACAGCAAACCCCCTCAGTGCCTCCCTCTTCGACTGTCAGCGGAGCATGCACAAGTGTCCCCTCGCCAGCCCACGCCATCCCACCCCCACCAGATCTAGGGAAGGTGAATAATGAAAACCTGAACCCCACCAGGACATTAGCCACAGTGGCCTCTCTCAGCCACCCCCAGGGGTCCAGTAACAGCAGACAGGAGAAAGCTTCTACTCTTGCAGGTCCTGCTGTAGTCCCAGGTGCCTCTCCTGTTCACGTTGTAGCTGATGGCACAGTTGAGCCCCAAGTGGGGTCTAGTAAGAATACCCAAAACCTTCCCACTTCAGCTGAGACAAATGCTGGTGCTGCAGTAGATGGGACTCCTCCTTTGACTCCTGCATTACCCATGGCCACTTTAGAAAAGCTTCCTCTACCCCAGCTCAGTGGAACCATCACTCCTACTGGATCGGCTCTGGCTCTATCTTCAAGCACCGTGCCAGCAGTTTCTAGCCTTAAAACCCCAGGAACTTCTTTGAATATGAATGGACCCATTTCAAGACCAAACTCAAGTATCCCTGCTAATAATCCTTTGGTCACTCAACTGCTCCAGGGCAAAGATGTTCCCATGGAGCAAATCCTTCCTAAACCTCTCACCAAAGTTGAAATGAAAACTATTCCCTTAGCTGCAGAAGAAAAGGGGATAGGAGCACCCACAGGCACCAACGTAACAGAAAGTAGCACAAGGGAAGAGATGAATGAGAGACAGTCCCATCCAGCTATACAGCAGCTAGGTAACACATTGCAAAGCAAACAGATACCCCCAGTTCCAAGGACCCTCCCGCTCTTTTCAGCTAAGGATCTGAGGGACTCTGGCATTGACACACACTCATACCCAGAAGGACTGAGTAAAGCTACCCAGGATCACATCCTTCAGACTCTCATCAGAAGGGTTCAAAGGGAGAATGTTCTCTCTGCTCTGCAGCCCAACCAGTTCAACTTTGCTCACTCAGGTTTCCAATTAGAAGACATCTCCACAAGCCAGAGGTTCATGCTGGGTTTTGCTGGTAGGAGGACATCCAAGCCTGCAATGTCAGGCCATTACTTACTGAACATTTCCACCTATGGCAGGGTTTCCGAGAGCTTTAGGAGGACCCATTCTGTAAACCCCGAAGACCGCTTTTGTCTAAGTAGCCCCATCGAGGCCTTGAAAATGGGACACACGGGCTGTACAAAAGCATCAGGAGACAGTAGCAGTGGCAAAGAAGAGGATACCGAGGAGGAGAGTAGTGGTGATGAACAGGAATCTCTCATGGTGAAGAAGGAGCCCCCCGCCTCTAGGAATTCTGACAAGTGTGAAGCAAAGCCGGGACTCCACAGTCGGGAAATCCTGTCTACCAATGATTGTTCAGTGAACAAGAATGTGAAGGCAGAGATAACGGCGAATGAGCAAACCGCTTTAAGCAAGGAGAATTACCTGTTCATTGGAGGCCAGACCTTTGATGAAAAGACCCTAGCCAGAGATTTTTTTCAGGCAGCACAGAAGCAAATGGCTGATGCAGTGAGAGGCAAGGTGATGGGTAGCAGCCCCGAGCTCTTCCGTGGTTCTGCTCTCCCTGTCCCTGCAGACAGCCCCACCCATAAGCCTCAACTCATTCCACCCCTGCAGATTCCAAAGTTGTATGGAAGCCCCACGCAGATGGGGCCCACCTATAGAGGCATGATCAACGTCGCCACCTCATCTGACATGGACCATAGCTCTGCTGTTCCAGGACTGCCTGACTGTAGCCAGGTGTCTAGCAATGTAGGTGATGTTATGTCCTTTTCCGTGACTGTCACTACCATCCCTGCTAGCCAAGCCATGAATTCCAGCAGCCATGGCCAGACCCTTCCTGTCCAGGCCTTTCCTGAAGAAAACAGCTTGGAGGACACACCTTCGAAATGTTACTGCCGATTGAAAGCCATGATCATGTGCAAAGGGTGTGGCGCTTTCTGCCATGACGATTGCATTGGTCCCTCTAAACTGTGTGTCTCCTGCCTTGTCGTTCGGTAACACGCTGTACTGGAGGGGCAGGGAGGGAAGCGTAGATAAGATGTGTGTGTTGTGCCCTCTTGGATCACAGAAATAAATAGGTTTCAGTTGTCTTAAGAGACAAATGTCGCATAATCAGGAATACAGAGTACAGATCTTTCACACTTCACAGGAGGAGCACCTTGTATAGTTTTAAGTCTTAAGTCAAGCAAGACTTTGTGAATTTGTGACAAGTTTGCACTTACAAAATCATGTAAATATGTCACATTTTGTTTTAACATTGTTCCCCGGGTGTTTAGGTAATAATGTATTACTTTGAATTCAGATGTGTGTTCCGCTTGCTGTGGCTCTGAGAAAAGCTCAGTGATAACATGGTGAAAGAGAGCTGTCTCCCTACTGACCTTCCCAAGAGGTTAGGAAAAGGAAGGAGGGGAGGAAGGGAGGAATGGTCTAAATAAATGGTCCTCCACATTGGTGATTCTACACAGACTAGTCAGACTTTACAAGATTTGGATTCCACCTTTAGGTGGAACCCTCTTACGTTCAATTTATTTTTAATGAAGCTTCAATTTCATGGGTAGTGTTTCAGACTCTTACAGCTCCGACTTGGTTCTTGGCTTCCATGCACCAATGCTATTTGCCAAGCTCTCTTCTTGCAATTTGTGAATCCCTGCTATTCCCTAACCCATTCCCCTGCCCTAGGACAGCGACTATGGTCTTTGAAATGTATGGCCTCTCTAGGCCTCCTTGTGCTACTGTAGCCTGTGCAGGACACTCCCTGCAAAACTAACCAAGCACTCGCTTCTTCATGGGAGCTTACACACGGGTTTGAAATGCGAGCGTGAAGTGTATAGAAAAGCGTTAGTGACAGAATGATTTGAGCTGTGTGCCTTGCTAGGGCAAAGGGAATGAAAGTGCAGAGACAGTTGAGGTGAACTTAAAGAACTTGGTAAGCAACTTTAACACTAGAAGCAAGGTAAGCCCCTCTGGTCTCCCAACCGGCCACCGAATGTTCTGTAGTCCCTGTTGTTGCAGCCAGACAAGCTCATTCAGGCCACCCTTTCCTGTGCTGCTGCACTTCCGAGGCGCCTGCAGCGGAGGGAGTAATCTTAAAGATAGTGTAGAAAGGAAGAAGGAAGTAACTCCAAAGTTTTGTATTTGTTTTGGTTTGGCTTTTCATTTTGTGCTTCCTTTTTGTTGTTGTGTCTTTTGTTTTTATTTTTTAATCTTATTTCTAGTGACAGAAAAAAAATCCCCCCCCCCCACATTTTATTGTGAATTAGGTGGGAGGCTTACATTTCAGATCATTCTTGTGTTCAGCAGCTTAAACTCCTTATCAAATTTCCCAATAGTTGCACAAGATTTAGGTCATTAGTAAAAGGACATTAATAGAATCTACAGGATTTGGTTTGAAATAGGAAATCTACAGTTTTTGCATCACCTGCCTACAAAGTCTTTAAATTATTAGTGCAGCTTAGTGCAGTTACATTTGTACTTAGTATCCAAGTGGTAGTATTTATAAAAGACAGAGTAGCTTTGATTTGTAACTCGAGTCACATTCTAGATAGGAGCAAGGGGGCAGTGATGTTGCTCTGCTCCCATTCTGAAGCCTGCTGAGGCCGGAGCTTCTTGCCGTCACCACCTCCTACTTTGTACACAATTACTGCTTTCAAAACCCCTGCCCCAAACCTCTTAGGAAACTTACACCACTGTTTATCACTTTTTCTCTTTTTTATGGCTCAAGGCAAATAGGGGACTCATATCTCGGTTCTTGTTCCAGCCAAGATCAATCTGATGTCCTTCCATCACCCCTGTGTCTGCCAGCACATACATCACTAAAGAGATAGGAGAGCTGCAAGAATGTCTTTATCCAGGGATAAGGAGTAAATTGGCCCCAAACTGGTGGGAAACACCATGGCTCTGCTCTCAAGCTTTCCGTGTGCTGGGTGGTGCAAAGAGGGCCTCAAAGACCTGTTGATGGAGTGAAGCCCCTTTCCATGCCCAACCTCTTCACTCCTCACAAGGGGCAGGACTAAGGACTGGGATACGTGCTGGAAATGGGTGAGTGGTTGAGAATCTACTCCAAACTAAATAGGAAATTACCGTTTTGGATTGAGAAAAGTGACTTTTCTGCTTTGCTCCTTTCCTGTCTTCCTTCCATGGTTCCTTTAACCTAAGGATGGACAGACTGTAGCCAGGAAAAGAGAAAAGGCATCAGGGAATTCTGAGACCATTTTGAGAGCAAACCATATTGTGCCTCTTCATCTTGACCCAGGCTCCTGGAGATAGGTCCTACGTGTTAGTGCTCACCACAGTCTCTTCATAAAGTGTACTCAGCTGATCAAATAGTTGCATCTAGAACGTCCTTAAGCCAGAAATCACCAACCAAGTACCCTGCCTCAGTCTTAACCAAACGATCCCCATAGATTGGCAGTGAGTTGGATTATAGCAGTTTTTATCATTACCCTGGCACTTTTGAAAACTGAAGCAGAAGAAGCAACAACTTTAAGTAACTTTCTAGAGAAAGCAATGCTTATCTTCGGTTTTCAGAGTTGTTTTTCCATCCAATTCAATCTGAAATGCTTTCTAATCAATGCTAAGCTTAGTACTGAGTTGCACTACTTGCCATGACTAGTCAGGCAGTAATGCCTGGTGCCATTGCCTCCGGTGTACCCTTCAGAGACCTTCACTGCAGGTCACCTGGGGGAGATAGCATTAACAGTATATCATCTCAGTCTGATTTGTGAATGTTGGAAGCTGTCTAGTAGAGAAGGCACCCTGAACCTTAACGAACTTTGATTGGTTAAAAATTCCCATCCTATTTAATGAGAAAGTAAAGCCAAATAGATAACCTGGAGTTGATTGCCCTACTTCTTAATGCTTATGTTCAAGTTACTAAAGGCTCCTGTGACATCTCATCTGACAATTTTAAGTACAAGAACTGGCCAATGGTATACTTTTCTTGAGGTGTGTCAGGAAGCATGCTTACGTGGGTTGGGAAGGTCCCCCGATGGAGATGTGGACTTAAACATCAAGTTTCCATAAATAGCTAAAGGAAGCCCTCCTTGCCTTCCAAGTGAAGGTTACAGATTCATGACAGTAACCATCTCAATTGCTTCCTACTGCCCTTTTCCTACCTTAGAGACCCTTAAAGAGCTCTCTGGTAGAAATGTTATAATGAAGAGGGTCTTCTCTGATCATTGCAGGGAGAGTGATTGCCTGTTCTCACTGGCTGTGAGCAGTGCCGGGTAATTTTCTCTGTGACCCAGGAGTTTCACATGGCAGCAAAGAGGGAAAAGTCTCCCCATCGCATAACTTCACAGTGCTAAGGGAAAACACTTGGTCCAAGGGTATTTCTCAGCTCAGTTTATAGTATAGCCCAAAGAGACATTGGGAAACATGATGATAGGCAGGCATCTTTCCTACCATGTTTCAGTACCGACATAACCTATTGGCAGAACAATAGGCAAGATATTTCCTAAAATTGAAGTAAGTAGCTTCAGAGATTCTTGGTTACTTTATTTTTTTTAATGCTTTACATTTGATAAAACTATTAAAGATCAATTTTAAAAATAGCTTTCCAGTAATATATTTTGAGTAATATATATTTTAATATCTATGTAAAAAGGACAATGGAAGACTTTGAATTTCTCTTACATGGATGTGAACTGTGGAACCTCACTGGTAAGGCACAAATGATTGCAAAGGAGGTTACTCTAGAGTCACTCAGATCATTTCCACAAAATGCAATAAGAGGGATAGTTTGGGGATTTATTTTTCATTTTTGAAGAAAATTGACGTATTTACCGCAAGCTCTTTTTCCCCCCTCTGGCTACAAGGTTTGTACAAGACTGGTTTGGTAAATGATAAGCTTTTGTGTCTTTTGCCTTTTTAAAGGAATTGTTAACATTGGAATTGAGGGTATGTACAGAGAAGTTGGTGTCGACACCATTTTAAAAGTCATATTTTTTCACAAATAATATAGAAATCATTTTACGTAAGAATTTTAAGTATTTGCAATAAATATATGTATATAGATTGTATGTATTCATATATTCTTATTTTTCATTTTATTATTAAGTAAAAAATTAAAAGTGAAAATAAAAACCTTGGAGTTTTGGTGACTTTTGAGACCTACCCAGCTACCTGAGAGTGGGACGAGTAAGAGCCCTCAGTTGCCTTAACTGCCTGCGGAAGGTGCCACAGAGGGTGCAGGGGGGAAAAGGTAAAATGAGGCATTTGGAGATAAATCAGAGTAGTGTATTTCTTTCAGGGTCTAGTAAAAATATTAAGTCTCTCTGTCTCCTTGTTTTCCACCTTGAGCTATTCTGTCTCCAAACTGCCCAGTACTCAGCTTCCAGGAAAAGTGAAGATAACCATGTGTAGCCTCGTTTTCTTTTCTTCTTTCTTTTTCTTTTCAGTGTGGCTGTTATTTGTTTTCAGTAAGACAGGATGGGAAGGAAATGCCTCTGGAATAAAGGTTCTCCTTTGTCCACAGTGGTCAGTAGTCAGCAGACATTCGCTGTCACCACCTTCCGGGCCTTGAGCAGCGGATAAAGAAATAATCGTGTAAGACAGTACAAGACGTCTTTCTGTTTCCAGTTCTCACAGCCAGCTTCAGGTTCTTTGTGACTGCTCTGGGGAGGGAGAAGGGCCAGGAGACCTTGAAAAGAAAGACCTCTGTTTCTTGATCCGATTTTGACCTTCTGAGTGTCAAAAAGGACATGGATGGCAATGGAGACTGACCGAAATGTTAGGAGAGGACAGTGGTCTCATTAACCTCCTAGAGAGCACCTGGAATCCAAGAGAACTCATTTTTGTGGCTGTAAACACTTGATTTGGGGGTATGACAGCAGAGGAGAAGCGATACCTACATGGGCTGTGGAGATAAATTTTGTGTAGATTTATTCATGACCTGGAAAGCTGATAAGGTCAGATTCTCAGGAATGTTTCTGAATGACTCACAAAGCTGGCTTTTGTAGTTTGCTAGCTCTCCTAATGAACTCAGCTATAGTTATTTTTAATAATAAAAATAACGTTTTGGAAATTAGTTGTAAGGATACATTGTATACTTTTTTTTAAGACAACCTTATTTTCGAAAAGAAACTCCAAACATC